GCTGGTTGTAGACGAGTCATAGGGTTAGATGGATGTTTCTTGAAGGGTGTGTGCAAGGGAGAATTGTTGACTGCCATTGGGAGGGATGACAATAATCAGATGTTTCCAATTGCTTGGGCTGTTGTGAAGGTAGAGAGCAAGGACACTTGGTCGTGGTTCCTGAAAAATTTGATGGTGGACCTTGAGATCACTAATGGAGGAGGTTGGGTATTCATGAGCGACCAACAAAAGGTAATGCTGGTGCAACTGCACAAACAATATTTATGACATTTTATCTTGCACATGCCTTTATTAATGCCTTGATGTATGAATTCTTGTGGGGACTTCTTCCTACTCTAGCTGAGTTGATGCCATTTGCTGAACATAGGATGTGTGCGAGGCACATATATGCAAAATGGGCAAAGATCTACAAAGGGGAGAAACTACAGAAGCAATTTTGGATGATAGCTAAGAGCACCAACATGGCTGATTTTAGAATTCACAAACAGCATCTGCTTGACTTGACGAAGGACGGTTATGAAGCACTTTTTCAAACTGAACCCAGGCATTGGTGCAAAGCCTTCTTTAGTGAAGAATTCAAAAGCGATATCATTGATAACAATCTCAGTGAAGCCTTTAATGGCAGAATTTTAGAGGCGATGTGCAAACCAATCATCAGCATGCTTGAGGATATTCGAGTGATAGTCATGACAAGGATGCAAAAACAGAGAGATGATGCTGCGAAGTGGACTGGACAGTGTGGTCCTAGGATTGCTAAAAGATTGGATGACAACTTGGCGAGTAGTAGGTTCTGTCATCCTATCTGGAATGGAGATGATGGCTATGAGGTCATGGAAACGACAGATAAGTATGTTGTCCAATTGGACAAACTAAAGTGCTCATGTCGAGCTTAGCAACTTTCTGGAATTCCCTGCGCACATGCCATTTGTGCCATCCAAGCGAAGTACCAAAATCCCAAGGATTACCTGCATGGTTGCTACCACAAAAGCACATATCTTGCTGCGTACCAGCACTTGATGCAGCCTATTAGAAGTACAAAATTCTGGGAGCCGACAAATCATGAAGCCCCTCATCCTTTGCCACTTAAGAAACAAATGGGAAGGCCTAAAAGGAGACGAAGAAAGCAGGAGGGAGAGCCCAGAAGTAAGAAGATGAGCAGGTCAGGTGTAGAGATAAAATGCTCATATTGTCGTGATGTAGGCCACAACAAAAGTGGTTATCATTTGAAGAAGCAACATCAGTTGCTTCAACAGCCAAGTAGAGGGACTCAAATTGGATCAAGTGCAGCGCCAGCACAAGAACCAGCTGAAGAGGCTGTTGAAAGGCCTGCTAGAGGGCCAGCTGATAGGCATGCTGATTGTCTAGCTGAAGGGCCTGCTGAAAACCAAGTTCAAGAACCAGCTGAAGAGCCAACCGGAGGCCCAGGTTCAAGGGCAACCTCCTCCTCGACTGTTGCACAGGCTAGGAGAAAATATCCAGTAAGCAATATGTATTTGTATTAATCTTTAGTGAGCAGACTTTGGCTTTAGTTGACATTGTTTTGTCCTTATCAGTTGAGAAGAAAACCAACTGAACAAGCAGCTCAGGTTCCTCAAAGTGAGGTACCATATCAAACAAGAGGGGTCCTCAGCAGAAGATTAAGGCAATATGGTTATGGAATTTATATGGACTTCAATACTGGAATGACTATTTTGCATGTAAGTTTTGTACATCTCATGCATTTCATTTTTGAGTTTTTCGCTTTTATGACAATATTGCTTCTTCTCATCCATGATTATGTTGTAGCCTGGGAGGAGTTCAGAGGTTCTCATATCTCAAGTTGGCCCAAGCCAAGAGTCAAGAGCTACACCAAAAGAATCCAACCAACGCGCAAGCAAGGCTGGGTCGAAGAGAAGAAGGGTGGTCATGAGAGAAGAGTGTTCAAACGCCACCAACAAAAAACTCAACACTAGTTCCTGATCAACCAGCACATGCTGACAGCTCCAAAACAGCCACCAACACCAGTAAGAAGAAGATAGTTGCTGCGCCTAAGAAGAAATCTCAAGCAAGAAGGCCAGTAGAACAATCTGCTGATCCAGCAGTTGAAAAAGATGTAGCTGGAGCAGTTCAAGAAGCAGCAACTCTAGCTGTTGAAGAAGATGCAGCTCAAGCAGTTCAAGAAGAAGCAGCTCCAGTTGTTGAAGAAGATACAGCTCCAGCAGTTCAAGAAGAAGTAGCTCTAGCTATTGAAGAACCTGCATCTTCAGAAGAACAACCTGCAGTTCCTCCAGTTCAAAAGAGTCAAAGAATTATGAATCAATTCAAGAAACCGTCGAAAGGAAAAGGAAATGGTGGACTTATCACTATTGACTAATGGGAGGGTGTTGAGGTGATTGTTAGTTTTTGTGAAATTAGAGAGGTTTACCGTATTGGCTAATAGGAGGTTGATTTTTTGTGGTCCTAGAATGTTATTGACTAATGGGATGTTGTGTGTAATGACTAAATTCGATGTTTACCGTGGTTAAGGTGGTTGTGATTTCCATATTTTTGCACACGTGTTTGTTCTGTTTTAGTATAGTACTGGTGTAGTGGGATGCTTGCAAGTTGCATCAGTAAGTTAATATTCAAAGAAACTTACTGATGCAATTGGTGGGGAGGGTGGGAATTGGTGCTGCTAGTGCTTGTTTTTTGTGCTATTTTCAGGTGCAATATGGTGCTTGCACTAGCTGCTGATTTTGTACTATTTAGGAGTATAGTATGGTTACTATTTGGGAGTATAGTATGGTAGCTGTTGATTTTGTCATATTTGGGAGTGCAGTATAGTGCTTGCACCAGCACGCCAGCACGTGCTGGTGCAAGCATTTTGAACCGGTTTTTGAATATGGTTTGGGGGTTGTTTGGTGCTGGTGATTGAATATGGTTTTGGGGGCTGTTTGAACCAGTTTATGAGTATGGTTTGGGGCGGTTTGGTGCTGGTGAGCAATGCTGGTACAGTTACTGCTTTGATTCTGGAATGATTTAGTTTAAAGATTGGTTTGTTGGAACCAAAGTCTTCATTTTTCAAAGAAACACACGGCATGACACTTAAGTGATCAACTTTCGGCCACAATTGGCACTTAAGTGATCACTTTTGAACCATGACTGGAACTTAAGTGATCACTTTTGAACCACGACTAGAACTTAAGTAATCACTTTTGAACCACGACTGGCACTTAAGTGATCACGATTACAAACATTTGGCACTAAAATGTCAACTGCTGAACTTATGACGACTTCATAATTTGCTGCTACGCAGAGTTGCAGCACTTGCAACATCTCATTTTTCAGTAGTGAGCCTTATTCCATAATATGCAACCATCTAACCAGATGAAAAAAATACAACAAATGAACAAGTGAATATGCAGGAAATGAGCAAGTGCAGCAAATGAGCAAAAATATGAAGCAAATGAGGAAGTGCAGCAAATGACAGCAAATGAGCAAAAATATGCTGCTAATGAGGAAGTGCAGCAATGATAGCAAATGAGCAAAAATATGCAGTAAAATATGCTACAAATGAGAAAGTGTAGCAAATGACAGCAAATGAGCAAAAATATGCAGCAAAATATGCTGCAAATGAGGAAGTGCAACAAATAACAGCAAATGAACAAAAATATGCAGCAAAATATGTTGCAAATGAGGAAGTGCAGCATAAGACAGCAAATGAGCAAAAATATGCAACAAAATATGCTGCCAATGAGGCAAAACTGCATCAAAATATGCAGCAACAAAATACTAAGCAACTCAACATTGAGAACCAATAAATTCCAACATTCCATTTGTCATAGATTGCAGCAAACCTCTTGTTACATACATAAATTGTAGCAAACTAATAGCACAACCGTAGCTACAAATTGCCAAATACACGTACATAGTACAAGCCTATCTTAAATTATGGTAGACTAAGAAACTTTTGCTCATAACTGATATTACATTTGACCATAAAATAGGCTATAAAAAATATCAATAACACAATCAACAATCGATAACACTTTCTTTCGATTTTCATCCTTTGAACTTCCTTCTTCAAATGGTTGGCCAGAGATGCTAAAGCCTTCATTTCAGCTTGCAATGAGTCGACATTGTCCAACTCGTCCATTAATGCAGGTGGAGGTTGATGTCGAGCTTCAAGTACCTTCACTATCACCTCTGTTGCTCGATCTGAAAATTTCGCATCAACCCACTTGAAGAATTTGCACTTCGAGCCTTCTCTATACCTGGCGCATCCATGGAATCTTCTCCCGGGGTTCAATCGAGTCCAAGATGTTCTTCTTGGACTCGGTAATCCACAATAGCAGAAGAACCGACCTTCTTCTTCACTTCGTTCAAACGAATTTGAGCCGCTAGTGAAGCTCCTGTCATCCATTTGTAACCTTTGGCTGTCAATTTCGGGGAAAACAAGGAAATAATATGGCCGGTTAGGGTTTGCAATTGGGGAATATGTCCAATTAGCCGATTTAGGTTCCTATATTGGGGGGAGAAAGGTTGAACGACGTCGTTTTCGCTATAAGGGCTGACTGGACTCTCCGGCCTGCTCCGGCCACCCATCTCAGCATCGAATATTAATAAAAAAGAGCCACATCAGATTTCCGGCGTGCCATGTCAGCATTGGCACTCAAGTGATCGTTTTTCAAAAAAGTTGGCACCAAAGTGATCCGAAAAAAAGTTATGGCACCAAAATGATCGCCGTACACAAGTTATGGCACTTATAGTGTACTTTTGCCAATTTATTTTGGTGGGGAAAATGTTATTGAAAGCTGTAAGAGGTTGTCAAGCCATGTACACGTGATAATAAATAGAAAATAAAACTAAGATCAGGCTGTGCCAGCGTGGCAATCCGCGTGCTCCTCCCGACCCGAAACACGGTTCGTCCATCTGGTCCCTCGATCGACGGCCCACATGCAATTCCCAAACCTGCCCGCCAAATTCTCCGAAATATTTCATCGGACTCCCCGAAAAAATTCAAAATCTTGCTCCCTGTTCTATATAGATCCTTCGACGAAACCCTCCAGATTCAACCCAATCTCTCGTCAAATTCAACTTCGCTCTCTGTATCTATAGCCGTAGAAGCACCGGAGGAATGGCGAGGACGAAGCAGACGGCGCGGAAGTCCACCGGGGGCAAGGCCCCGAGGAAGCAGCTTGCCACCAAGGCGGCCCGGAAGTCGGCCCCCGCGACCGGCGGTGTCAAGAAGCCGCACCGGTTCAGGCCTGGGATGGTGGCGCTGCGGGAGATACGCAAGTACCAGAAGAGCACGGAGCTGCTCATTCGGAAGCTGCCCTTCCAGCAGCTGGTGCGGGAGATCGCGCAGGACTTCAAGACGGACCTCCGGTTCCAGAGCAGCGCCGTCTCGGCGCTCCAGCAGGCGGCCGAGGCCTACCTGGTGGGGCTGTTCGAGGACACCAACCTGTGCGCGATCCACGCGAAGCGCGCCAGCATCATGCCCAAGGACATCCAGCTCGCCAGGAGGATCAGGGGCGAGCGAGCTTGAGATTTCTTCTTAGCTTGTTGTTACTGTGTGGAGTAGGGAGATGTTAAAAACTGAAGCTTTAGCGTTTTGTAGCTTTCCTTTTCCTTTTGGGCTATTCTTCTGATGTGACGTGTTTCCATGGCGATTGAGGAGGTCAATAGAGATTGATGTTCTTCTTCTACAAGCTTTTGAAGTTTGGTGGTGAAAGGGGACGGGGTGATTTGCAAGGCATGCAAACGATCCGTGCACTTCAAGAGCATGTCTTTCTTTGCATTTCTTCACCGGTTCATTATAACTCTCACCCCTTTCACCAACTCCTCAAACTCAATCGTTCGCCACCCATCACGGCAATGAGTTTCGTAACGAAGTATGTCACCGTCCTAATAGCCGTTCTTGCTGTCTTCGCTTCGACCGATTTCACGGTCCCAATTTCGCTCTCTTCGCTTAGAGATCTTGCCCTCGATGCCAAGCTCTTTACCTTTCTGCAGCATGGTCCTTTGGCCCTTTTCCGGCAGTACGTTGGTCACTGCCACCGCCGGCACCGTAAGTGCCCCGATAATAGCCAGAGGCAGGTCTCCATTTGCGACGATTTCCCGCTTGACATTCCTCCTCCGGAGACTAACACGACGCTGACCCTCTGCGTGGACCGGAATGGGTGCTGTAACTTCACCACGGTCCAAGCGGCTGTGGACGCGGCCGGCAACTTCAGTCAGAAAAGGACCGTGATTTGGATTAACGGCGGCATCTACTAGTAAGAATAATCTGGTCACCCGGCTAGCAGCTTCCCTTTAGACAATGGATCATAATTTGGTGAATCAATCTGTTTGTTCCGGCAGCGAAAAGGTGACCATACCGAGGACAAAGCCGAACATCACGTTTCAAGGACAAGGGTACTTATCGACTGCAATCGCGTGGAATGACACGGCTAATTCTTCGCATGGAACATTCTATAGCGGCTCGGTGCAAGTCTTCTCGAACAATTTCATCGCGAGGAACATTAGCTTCATGGTGAGATAGCAAATCGAATTTAGGAAATCATGTTCAGGCTGTGTGACTGCGATTGTAATTGAGATGCATTACTGTTTCAGAATGTTGCTCCAATTCCGAGCCCCGGAGACATCGGAGCACAAGCGGTGGCGATTAGAATCGCGGGCGACCAAGCTTCGTTTTGGGGTTGCGGGTTCTTCGGAGCCCAAGATACGCTTCACGACGATAGGGGTCGCCATTACTTTCGAGATTGCTATATCCAAGGTTCTATCGACTTCATCTTTGGTGACGCGAGGTCGCTGTACGAGGTATGGGAGTCCTTTGTGGCCGGTTCGATAATCGCACAAAACGCTCAGATAATCTGTCAAACAGCACTTACAAACAAGCAGTAAGCTTAATTAATAAACTGTACTACCTGGCCAAAGCCAAAAAAAATCATGATAATTGCCTCTCCAGCATCTTCTGCCTGTCAATGATTCTAGGATGACCTTTCATTGAATCACAGAACTGCCAATTGATTTCCATGGCCACCCCAGTGCCTCCGGGGCAGAAGGGGATCAACGGGGCGGTCACGGCGCATGGCCGAGCTTCCAAGGACGAGAACACCGGCTTCACGTTTGTGAACGCCAGCATCGGGGGCACGGGGAGAATATGGCTTGGCCGGGCATGGAGGCCGTTCTCTCGGGTCATCTTCGCGTACACGACCATGACCGACATCATCGCGCCCGAAGGCTGGAACGACTTCAATGATCCTGCTAGAGACCAGTATGTATACGAACGATGATCGCCACCTGAGTACAAATTATCTACCCCACATTTCATCATTTAACAAGTTGGGTGGTTGATCAATTACCAACCTTTTCATCTGGCTTCTAATGAAATGCAGGACGATATACTACGGAGAATATAATTGCTCAGGAGCAGGAGCTAACATGAGCTTAAGAGCACCATATGTTCAGAGACTTAACGATACTCAAGCTTCACCTTTTCTCAACATCTCCTTCATCGATGGTGATCAATGGCTGTGATGACCTCTTGCTATAACATCGATGCTATTTTTCAATTTCCATTCGATTATTTATTTCGCAGGTCAGGAGAAATAATCAATAATCTCCACAAAAAAGTGTTCAAACACAGTGATACATGTACCTCTTTTGTTCAAGCATCAACACATTCTATCGACTTGTGAAGTTCTCTTCTTTAGGATTGCTTTGTGCAGACAATTTGTTGAATTGGGTGATTGTCATGTCACGTGCTCCAATCTGTCCAGAGGTGGTGGTGCCTACGAACTTTCTCAATTTGGCATGAATCAATCAAGACAAGGTAATTATCATTTGTCTTCTGATTCACTGAGAATGTACGGTCTTCGCATTCTCTTGTTGGGAAGAGCTTTTTCTTTCACGGGATGGTCTGATTAAATAGCCACAAGATTGATCGACAAGTAAGGCTCTTGGGTTTTCGATGATGATTGTTCGTTCTCCGGGATGCGTATGATCAAAGGAAACCAGCACCCAGATATCAAGCCTTGAATTAATGGGTAAATTATTAAGAAAGTCTTAGACCTATTGCATTTATTTTAATTTGGCCAATTTAGTCCTAAACCATTTGACAATTTGCCAATTAATCCATCTAGCCAATTTTGACCGGAAACCACTAATATGGACAGTTCTTAAATATTTTGTGAAGATTGTCCACTGTCCAAGAGAAGCTAACCAAGCTGCAGATTAGGTCGCTAAGGCTCTCAGCCTGAAGACCCTTCTCCTATATTGGCTAACTTCAACCCCCTAGGCTTTATGGAATATTGTGTTCTGAAACTCATATGTCTTGCTCTAGTAGTACTCGTTATTATGAATGAATGAAAGAACCTTTTGGACCAAAAGATGACGAACAATTTTTAAATAACTTTTGTGATTTTTTTTCTTTTTTTTTCTTTTTCCCTTTTCTTTTCGCCGACTGGCCACCGGCTTTAGGCGATGGCTGGCCTCCCTAGGCGAGGGCCCTCCTAGCCAGATTTGGCAAGGTCGACCCTTGCCCAGGCCAGGGCGGCCTCACCGGGCCTCGCCTGGGCGAGGGCAAGGGCCACCCTCACCCAAGCCAAGGCGGCGTCGCCCTTGCAGGCTATCGCCATTGATCGGTGGATTATATTGGCAAATCATTAAAAGGTTTAAGATTAAATTAGCCAAATTGAAAGATTTAGAACGGAATTGACACAAGTGCAATAAGTTTAAAACTTTCCCGGTAATTTCCCCTCGGATTAGCTACCTTCCTTTAGGCCTCGTTTACAATTTGATCATAAGATTATGAGATCAATGACGATTGAATTCTAATTTGCTTTTGCTTTTTTTTTTTTTGCTAATGTCATTTGGAAATGTGTGAAGTCGAAAGAGAACGCAATAAATGCGCTGATTGGCTAGTTAACCATAGTCTCATGTTAGATTCTAATTCTCAGTGAAAAAGTCGTATAATATTAGTCTCATCTTTCTGCTAAGCAAGTAAATGCCATGTCACTTTCTTTTCACATATGCAAGCGACATATGAGCATTAGGTGAGGGGGACCCTCCCTCATTAAGGCTTGGATAGCAACGGGAATGCGTGATTAAAAAAATGATTTATATTGAATACATCGCTAGTGCAAAATATCTTGAAATAAAGTAACCAAAAACCTTAAATAATACTCAATGTAACATATTTACCCTAAATATTTTTTGTGACACAAAAAACTCCAAACTTGTATTCATGTAACACATGTACCCCAAACTTGTACCAGTGTGACACATTTATGTTAAAATTTGGGGTAAATGTGTCATATGAATACAAGTTTGGAGTTTTTTGTGTCACAAAAATATAATTTGGAATAAATGCGTCACACGAGTATAAGTCTGGGGTTTTGATGTCACAAAAAAATTTGGATTAAATGCGTCACAGTGGGCATAATTTAGGATTTTTGGTGGCTTTTTCCCAAATATCTTTTACACCAAAGAAAACAGATCCTAATACCTTTTCTAAGAAGTTACTAGATCCACAAAACGTGCTAAATATATGGCATTCTTTGACTTTAGCTAGACTAAAATTGAAATAGGAATATTTATTTTGGCAATTTATTAGAGGTAACATCCCATGTGTTCTAGTCAACCTAAGTAAACTAGCTAAAAATACTGCAAAACCATATGCTTATGCGGATTATATTGGCATCAAAGTGGGCGTCGTAGTTATTTTATAGAAATATAAGCGGTGCCATTGAAATTAATGCAAGATGGAGGGGGCGATAAAGACTTTATCCATGTAAACATTTGGAGCAATATGACCTTTTTTTTTTTTACCGCATAACCTTTTAATAAACACTGAGGTTCAAACTGCGCTGATAAATTATGATAGGAAAAAGGTTGATACTCAAAATGTATAGCTCTTGGTTGAATGGAACACACGACGCAAATATTTGGACACCACACTTGAGAACTATATATATAAATAAAATATTTATATATTTTTTTTATGATAAGATTGATAGATTGATCATTGGTCGTCTTACATTATATAATTTCCATAATTTAAAAAAAATTGTCATATTATATGTGTTTTTGTCTACGATATGTATCGTCTCAAAGATTCTTCATATACCGTGACCCCCAAAGTGGAAATGAATATGTGGTCACGTCCTTAATCGCCGGCATTCACTAATCATTGATGTTGGGCTGCACTTTATGTGGCTTAAAATCATTTATTATACTCTTGATTTTTCTACATTTCAATTTCGAAATCCTATTAGCAAAAATTCTATGTTGGCTGGTAATTCACTTAATTAAAGGGACATTTCATGCCAACTTAATTTGAAATACCATGTAGGGGTGCGTAAAACAGATCATCCGAATTGGAAATCGCCCGGACCGGATTGAATCGGCCGATTAGGTCTGGTGTCGGTCCGATCCGATTATATATATTTTTATTTTTTATTTCTTTAAAATAATTAGTAATATGTGAATTAAACCTGCATACAACGCTTTTTCCTTATCGTTGCACCACAATGACTCTTCACTCATCGTTCCTTCATCAATTTCTTCAAATTTGTCACTTTCTCTTGTTATGGTGGGAAAAAAATAAAAAAGCGATCAATTCTGTTATATCGTATCGGAAATCAATAACCCTTCAAACCATGTAGTGGACATGTTCTCATCGGTCAACGTGTGACATATGATGATGTTGTCAACGTGAAGTGTTGTATCACAGAAATGCACCTTACAATTCTCCCTCCATCCGGCAACCAACTACATCCAGACAAAGATTAATGATTTGAACATAAACAATGTCAATTCCTGAAAAGAATATATCATTGTATATTCTTCTGTTTCTTTGTATAGTTGGACACACACACACACGTACTTATATATATATATATATATATATATATATATATATAAATTCTATGACTCCAAATAAAAATGCCTGCAAGTTCTTTGTGTAATCAACCCTCTTCATTAATTTTAAATGCCCAAGATACGCCATGGTTTTTGTAATCTCCACATAGAATATTTTACTACTGACCACATAAACACTCATATTTCTCTTACCTGTTATTTCTTTCAAGTCAAATAATAGCATTTGCTGTGTGTGCAAAACAATACACATCCGCTTTTGGAGATAGAAAATCCAATCCAAAAGTCAAACGTGATTAGGAGCGGCACGTGAAAGTCTGGGTGGACGCACATTCGCGAAAGACGTAGCACTGGTTCTGATATCATATTATAATGTCCAATCCAAAAGCTTAAGCTACTAGATGGAGCGAGATTGCATGTATATAAGAAGTATATAAGATCCGTTGTGAAGCGATGCGCGATAATAATTCAATATTCGAAATGAAAGGACATACTTATATTCTCTTAATTAAAGAAATTTAATTGATTCGGATTTACCCTTTGAGCTATGATGCGAAAAGAAGATAAGTTGCTTGGACAATTTTCCATTAATTCTCATGTTCCTACGTGGCAAGAAGAATGAAAGGGCAAAAGACAGCGTGAAAAAAGACAAGGCCACAACGTACCGTGAAATGTCGGGTCATTTTCTATGGTCCCCTAGCTAGGTACTATTCCTTCATGTTGTGTCAAACATACCTTAAAAAAATGCAAAACGCCGAAATTACTTAAGATTAATCTATAAATTGATACCCCGAGCGATGTAATAAAATATTCTCAGACGTTAATATAACCCACTTGTCAATGTAGTCCTTCGCATCAGTTAACATATTGATGTAAGTTATTGTCAAGTGCATAAACTAAAGTTTCATCTCTGTCTCTATTCTAATAGAACCCTATGAAAACCCAAATAAATTCCCTATTATTAACAGGCTGTTATGAAATACATGAATGAATATTCATTATATTCAATGTACCTATTATGGTACATTTGTAACCTACATACATGAATGTATATTCAATGTACCTATTATGGTACATTTGTAACCTACATTCTACGTACAATCTCCAATGAATGTTCATCTCCCTATTCAATGTATGTATTCAATACATTGACATTAATGATATGTGCATTCTTGTTTTCTTATAAATAGGAGTTTAGTTTTGGTCATTGTGTAAGAAATCAGAACATAATGAAAGGAGAAAATATATATTTTTGGTGTTTATCTGCTTTCTCTACTTAATCTCTATTCTCTCTATTATATACTTGCAATGCAATATTTTACAACACGTTATCAGCACGAAGATCTACCAACTGAGTAAATAATTTTTGCAAGGTAACTGTTCTCTTTGTTTTTCATTAATCAACTTATACTTCATCTTCTCCTATCAATTCTTCATTTTTCTTTTTCTTGGCCTGAAGCCAATTTCCAATCTAAAAGTATCCTTTTGCTCCTGAAGTGGCGATGGATATTTGGAAATCCTTCTAATTAATTTAAGGATTCATTTGTTTTGAAAGAATTATGGCAAATATTGAAAAGCCCAAATTCCACATCCTGGAAGTGAGTGGAAATAATTATCTATCTTGGTGCCTTGACATGGAAATGCACCTCCAAGGGCAAGATCTCGCTAATGCAATTACAGAAGACGGAACCTCAAATGCAAAAGATAAAGCAAATGCACTGATTTTTATTCGTCGTCATTTGCATGAGAGCCTGCAGACTCAATATTTATCCGTTCGAGACCCTCAGACCCTGTGGAAGAGGTTGAAGGATAGGTATGATCATACCAAGACTGTTATCCTCCCTCAAGCATAGTATGACTGGCAAAATCTCAGACTGCAAGATTTTAAATCAGTGTCTGACTATAACTCCGCTTTATTTGATATTGTTTCTCGGCTTGAGTTATGCGGTATCAAGCTCACTGATGTGGAACTGTTAGAGAAAACTTTCTCCACCTTCCATGCTTCGAATATTGTATTGCAACAGCAATACCGGGCAGCGTCAATTTGACACATACTCTGAATTAATTTCTGTGCTCCTCACTGCTGAGCAAACTAATGAATTGCTACTCAAAAATCATGATCTTAGACCTGCTGGGTCAAAAGCATTGCCTGAAGCACATGCTAACTCTGAGAAAAATACTGGCCATTTTAAGGGCTATAAGCGCAGGCAAGAACATAATCCTCGAAGGGGTGGCAAGAAATTTAACCGCCCTGGGAAATCTAACTTTGGCCCGAATCATGACAAAGAAAAGAAGCAAAAGAAGGTGACTAATGAAAGTATTTGCCATCGATGTGGCATGACTGGGCACTGGTCACGTACTTGTCGTACGCCAAAGCACTTTGTTGATCTATACCAGGCATCTTTAAAAAATAGGGGCAAGGGTGGTGAATCTCACGCCATTGAAATTAATCCTACTGCCATAACCACTGTTGAGGCCAACAATATCTCTGTTGGCGGGACTCCTCTTGCTCCTGAAGTAGCAAATGCATCCCTGGATGTCTCTGATTTCTTTGAGGACCTCTGATTACTTTGATGAAGCATCAGACTGGTGGATGACAACTTAGACTTCGAATTTTATGATTCTAATAATTTCTTTTCTAGTTGCTTTTCTTTAAATGTATTACCTTTTATTGTTCTTTAATATGGTTATGAATGAAATGCTTATGAACCTGATATAATATTTATTATTTTGAAATTTTATTTGACCCTATAACTAATATGAAAAGTTTATGATACTTGACACCTAAAGTTGTCAACATAAATGCAAATGGAAAATACCGAGAAAAAGGAAGATATTTGTTTGCTTGATAGTGCATCAACACATATCATATTTCGTAGTAGACACTTTTTCTCGAGTATGACATTGCGTAAGACACATGTCCATACAATATCAGGTCCTATTTCGATTATTGATGGTTTCGGGAATGCCATAATTGTTTTGCCTAAAGGCACCATCCTGTATATTGAGAATGCGTTTCTAAGCAGTAGATCAAAAAGGAATCTGCTTAGCTTCTAAGATGTACGCCGTAATAGGTACCATATTGAGACTATTTATGAGCAAAATAAAGAATATATTGGCATTACCTCTTATAAGGTGGGCCTGAAGACCATCCATGAGAAGCTAGAAGCTTCTTCTATGGGTTTGTATTGTGTCATGATTAAGGCCATTGAAACCTACTCCACCATATCCTGGAGATTGGTAAACCCTTATTAGTTTGGATTATGGCATGATCGTCTTGGTCACCCTGGCGCTTCAATGATGCGTAGAATAATTCAAAATACAAAAGGGCACCCTTTAAAGGATACAAAGGTATTGTTGTCCAAAGATTATAATTGTGAAGCTTGTTCACAAGGAAAACTCATTACCAAATCTTCTATAACAAAGGTTAATCTTGAATCCCCTTTATTCCTGCAAAGAATTCAGGGTGATATTTGTGGACCAATACAACCACCAAGTGGACCGTTTCGATATTTTATGGTACTAGTGGACGCATCCTGTAGATGGTCACATGTTTGTCTATTATCTACGCGCAATGTCACCTTTGCACGTTTACTTGCGCAGATTATAAAGCTCTGGGCACAATTCCCTGATTATCCAATTAAAAGCATAAGGATGGATAATGCTGGTGAATTAACATCAAAGAGTTTTGATACGTATTGTGCTTCACTCGGAATCGAGGTTGAGCACCTGGTCGCATATGTTCATACTCAAAATGGATTGGCAGAATCCTTGATTAAACATATCCAAATCATTGCCCGCACTCTATTAATGAGAACGAATCTCAGCGATACAGCATGGGGTCATGCACTTTTGCATGCGGCAGCCCTAATAAGATTGCGCCCCACTGCTAGTCTCTTACAATCTCCCCTACAAATGGTTCTTGGTTGTGAACCTGATATTTCACATTTACGCACCTTTGGTTGTGCAGTACAGGTGCCTGTAGCACCGTCAAAAAGAACGAAAATGGGTCCCTAACGCCGTTTGGGCATTTATGTTGGGTTTAATTCATCGTCCATCATTAAGTTCTTGGAACCAACTACTAGATTGGGACTATGTTGGGTTTAATTCATCGTCCATCTTTTTACTGCCAGATTCGCAGATTGTCATTTCAATGAGACTATGTTTCCATCAATTGGGACACCTAAAACTGACATGGCTGCGAAGCAAAAACCAGTTAAGGTTTTCTCCTGGAATGAGAAAAATTTATCTCAATTAGACCCAAGAACTCCTGAGTGTGAAAACGAGGTGCAGCGCATAATCCATTTACAGGCTATGGCCAATAGACTTCTTGACGCGTTTAATGATGCTACTAAGGTAACAATGTCTCATATTCCAGCTGCAAATGCTCCAGCTAGGATACCTGTTCCCGAAGGACAAGCTAAAATGGATCAAAATCCCCCAAACTTGAAACGCGGTAGACCGATAGGATCAAAAGACACTATTCCTAGAAAACGAAGGGGAAAGAATTAGGAATCTGCTCCAGAAGAGCCTGGTGTTGTGCTTGCTCCCAAAGAGCTTATTGCTCCTAAAGAGGCACAAACCCATGAAAAGATCACCAACCCTGGGAATACTGAGAATTCCATTACATATTGTAACGAGATTTGGGATCGGAATGAAATCATCATTGAAGATGCTTTTGCATTCTCAGTTGCTCATAAAATTATGGATGATGATTGTGAGCCGCAATCTATTATTGAATGCCGTCAAAGGCAAGATTGAGCTAAATGGGAGGAAGCAATTAAGGCTGAATTAGCTTCCCTAGCCAAACGAGAGGTTTTTGGACCCATAACTCGCATCCCCGATAATGTAAAGCCCGTTGGATATAAATGAGTATTTGTCCGGAAACGAAATGAGAAAAACGAGGTTGTCAAGTATAAAGCCCGACTCGTTGCCCAAGGATTCTCCTAGAGACCTGGGATTGATTATGATAAGACATATTCACCTGTGATGGGTATGATTACATTTCATTTTCTCATTAGCCTGGTACTCTCTGAAAGATTGAAAATGCGTCTTACGGACGTTGTGACGGCATATCTATATGGCTCATTAGACTCGGATATTTATATGAAAATTCCCGAGGGATTCAAAATGCCTGATGCATGCACTCCCCGCAACTTATTCTCAATAAAATTGCAAAGATCTTTGTACGGGTTAAAGCAATCCGGTCGCATGTGGTATCAACGCCTAAGTGAGTACCTAATTAAGGAAAGGTACAAGAATGATCCTATCTGCCCATGCGTGTTTATTAAGAAATCAGAAACCGGATTTGCTATTGTAGCAGTTTATGTCGACGATATAAATTTAATTGGAACTCCAGAAGAGTTAGCTAAAACTGCTGAGTATTTGAAAAGGGAATTTGAAGTTAAAGATTTGGGTAAAACCAAACTTTGTCTTGGTCTAGAGCTTGAGCATAAAGCAAATTGAATAATCGTCCATCAATCAGCATACATTGAAAGATTACTTAAATGCCTCAACATGGACAAGGCTCACCCATTGAGCACTCCTATGGTTGTAAGGTCTCTAGATCCCCAAAAGGATCCGTTTCGTCCTAGAGAATCTGATGAAGAGATACTTGGTCTTGAAGTACCATATCTCAATGCAATTGGGGCTTTGATGTACTTGGCATAATGTACGAGACCAGATATCACTTTTGCGGTAAATTTATTGGCACGTTTTAGTTCTGAGCCAACTCGGAGACACTGGAATGGAATTAAACATATTTTTCGTTATCTCCGAGGAACCATAGATTTGGGATTATATTATTCCAAGGATTCCACTACCTCTGGTTTAGTTGGATATACTGATGCTGGATATAGATCTGATCCATATAAAGCTCGTTCTCTAACCAGTTATTTATTTTGTTATAACGGCACCGCCATTTCTTGGCGTTCTACGAAGTAATCACTAGTAGCTACATCTTCCAACCACTCTGAGATTATTGCTTTATATGAAGCTGGAAGAGAGTGTGTTTGGTTAAGATCCGTTATAACACATATTCACAATTCTTGTTGTTTAACACCGGTTATAAATTCTCACACTATAATTTATGAAGATAATGCTGCTTGTGTTGCACAAGTTAGGGGAGGATATATCAAAGGTGATAGGACCAAGCATATCTCGCCGAAATTTTTCTATACTCACGAACTCCAAGAAAGTCAACAAATTGATGTTAAGCAGATTCAATCCATAAATAATCTTGCAGATCTTTTTACCAAATCATTGCCAACGTCAACTTTTGAGAAATTAGTATATAGCATTGGTATGCGGCGAGTTCATAAGATGCAAGATTGACTAGCCCCAGCAGTGGCTATATAGCTCAAATTAAGGGGGAGATATTATGAACTATGCATTGCACTCTTTTTCTTTTTGTCCGGTTTTTTTCCCACAGGGTTTTTCCGGCTTAAAGTTTTAACGAGGCAATTTACGCATCTATAAAAGGGAGAGATCTTAAAATTTGTGCTGTGTACTCTTTTTCCCTTTTGTCTGGTTTTTGTCCCACCGGGTTTTTCCGGCTTAAGGTTTTTAATGAGGCAGTATCATTCAATGCACATTCATAATATAATGAATACAATGAATATTCAAGGAGGAGTGTTATGAAATACATGAATGAATATTCATTATATTCAATGTACCTATTATGGTACATTTGTAACCTACATACATGAATGTATATTCAATGTACCTATTATGGTACATTTGTAATCTACATTCTACGTACAATCTCCAATGAATGTTCATCTCCCTATTCAATGTATGTATTCAATACATTGACATTAATGATATGTGCATTCTTGTTTTCTTATAAATAGGAGTTTAGTTTTGGTCATTGTGTAAGAAATCAGAACATAATGAAAGGAGAAAATATATATTTTTGGTGTTTATCTGTTTTCTCTACTTAATCTCTATTCTCTCTATTATATACTTGCAACGCAATATTTACAACACAGGCTGTATTGTCAAGCCTGCATTATTAGGCCTTGTGAACAGCCAGCACAAAAGAACTTGCAAAGTTGCAACCAACCAGCAAACAAAACCCCCCCAAGGTTTTTAAACTTCCTCCGTTTCTCTGTCTCCAAAATAAATCTTATTCAAATCCCACTCTGAATCTGTCCCCTGTCGGACTATAAAATCCCCCCCTCCTCTCTTTCAGAGCTTCACAGAGAGAGGGAGAGAGAGAGAGAGGGATGGGAGCGTGCGCCACGAAGCCGAAGGTGTCGAAGTCCAACAAGGATGCCGTTGATGCCCCGGTGCCGGCGCCAGAGGAGGTTGTGGCGGGAGTGGACTCAGAGACGACGGCCGAGGTAAAGAAAGAGGAAGAGGTGGTGGTTGCGGCTGGAGCAGAGCAGGGTGAGAGTGTGAAGGAGGTGGTTGATGTGGAAGGAGGCAACATACCCTGTTCTTTGAGTCTCTTGCTCGAGGAGGTAAATGATTTGGTTTCAGTTTATAAGACTCTCCCTCTTATCATTCTTGCTGCGTTTTCACTTTCCTTTCCAATTTAGATTTTGATTCTCACGAACATATCA